AAAAAAAAATTAAAAAAAAAAAAATATATTCCCATTTTATAGATGAGGACAAAAAGACAAGAGCTGTTTCACAGGCAGAAATGTTGTGCCTTTTTACAGACTTTCTACTATAGTTATATTTGCAGAAATGTCTTAAGCAGTGTACTTTGGGCTTTTAAATTTTTTCTTTGATTAAAATAGTATTATTTTAATTGCTGTCATTAGCGATAGTTTGATGTACTATTTGCTCTATCTAGTGGATTATCTGCCCATTTACTCTATTTTGTTCACAAGGCAGAAAATGAAAAGAAACACTATTTCCAGGCACCTGGGTGGCTCACTTGGTTGGGCATGGGACTCTTGATTGTAGTTCAGATTATGATCCCAGTGTGGTGGTATCCAGTGCTGAGCATGGAACCTGCTTGGGTTTCTCTCTCTCTCTCCTATGCCCATCCCCATGCCCAACCCCTACATGCTCAATGTCTCTAAAATAGAAAAACAAAAATTAAAAATTTTATTTATTTATTTTTATTTATTTTTAACTTACATCCAAGTTAGTTAGCATATAGTGCAATAATAATTTCAGTAGATTCCAATGATTCATCCCCTATGTATTACACCCAGTGCTCATCCCAACAAGTGTCTTCCTTAATGCCTCTACACATTTAGCCCATCCCCTCACCCACAACCCCTCCAGCAACCCTCAGTTTGTTCTCTGTATTTAAGAGTCTCTTATGTTTTGTCCCCCTCCCTGTGATTATTTTTGCTTCCCTTCCCTTATGGTCATGTGTTTTGTATCTTAAATTCCACATACAAGTGAAGTCATATATTTGCCTCTCTCTGACTGATTTCACTTAGCATAATACCCTCTAGTTCCATGCAAGTTGTTACAAATGACAAGATTTCCTTCTTTTTATTGCCAAGTAATACTCCATTGTATATATATACCACATCATCTTCTGTGCAAAAAAGAAACACTATTTTGAAAATTATCATGTCTTTCCTTACTTTAAACCGATGTAAAATATGTGAGAGACAGTGAAATGAAACTTACAATTTGAAGCTAAAATGAAGAGGTTGAGATTTAACTCACCCCTGGTGCTCTGACAGGTTTGCAAAAATAAAAATATCTGACCTTCAAATTTCTCTCAGTTAAGCTCTAGTCTTTGCTGTCATCTTTGTAACGAGTGATCTGACACCACTGCTGGAGCTACAGCGTGCTGGGAAAACTGGGAAGCCTGCACCAAACACCGAGGGTAGCAGAGGAACTCTGCCAACTCGCAAGCACAGCCGTGCCCAGGCAGGCCGGCATTAGGACTTCTGAGGGGCACCTGGCCCCCAGATGCCAGGGCTTCCCCATGGCGACAAGAAGTGCGTGCCCAAACACTTCCGGGAGGCACTTTGAGGCCGGGCAAACACTTCCGGGTGGCACGTGGCAGCTGGGCGGCTCTTTCGCACGTCTCACCTGTAGTAGCGTCGTCCACGCCACAGGAATCGGCGTAGGCTTGTGCCATGGCGTCTCGGTATGACCGGGCAATCACTGTCTTCTCCCCAGACGGACACCTTTTCCAAGTGGAATATGCCCAGGAAGCGGTGAAGAAAGGATCCACAGCGGTGAGCAGCCAACTTCACCACCGCCCCCCACCCCACCCACCGTGCCCGGTGTCATGCCTTCCTTACCCAGCTGCCCCAGCCCAAGGCTCCGGTGTGTGTGTGGGGGGGGGGGGGTCAGGAAAGGAGAGCCTCCCACTTGTGAAAATTGCTGCGTTCTTTTAATTGATGGAGATGCCCTTTCTGAAATTTGAGCAAGAGGCAGCAAGAGGTAGATTTCATAGGTGTGCAGCCGCTTTCGAAGGATAGCTCCAGACCCCAAACTAGGGTGTCAGTTGAAGCCTTGATTTTAGAAGCAATATGAATGCCGTGTCTGACAATAAGAGAAGAAAAGACTTCTAGCCAGTGACAGCCATCCTGAATGCACATAAGCCACTTCCGCGGGAATTCACAGATGCGTGGAAAAGTAGCAGTTACTTTGTGTGGGTACTGTTGTTTAGCAGTAATTACATTAAAAATAGACCATGCCTGCCCCTGAAATAGGAACGATTAAAGTAAAATTGAATCTCTTGTTGAGAAGTTGGTCAAAAACGCCAAGCCAGTTATCATACATTTCCACCTGTTAAAAGTAATTGTCCTAAAGTTTTCTCCTGAATATTTGGCAGCCTTTTAGAGCCTCTAAGCCCCAAGAAACTCCGATCTTTTGCCACTTTTTGGTTGTTGTTCAAATAATGCTGTAATTCCTTGAGAGATTATACCCTACATTATATTTATGTATCCACATTTCTGAAAAACTTTTAAATGCTCAGGGTAGCAGTACTATTCCTGCCAAGTTTTAATTATATCTAATAATATTCGTGATTTATAAAAATTAAAAAGGACAACATTGCCCTGGTAACCAAAGATCTATTACCCCGAATCTTCTAAGTCCTAACCTATGAATTCAGAAGGATCCAATTTTTTTTTAAATCTCTCAAATTTCATGAGCATGTTTGTTTTGTATTTTGGAAATTGAGACACTAGCTATGAGACTACGCCATGCATTTCTAAGTGTAGCAGTGTCTGTATTTTCCCTCACTTTCCAAAGCAATTTAGTTATGGAAGGAAATAATTCACTTTTATTATAAATCTATCAAATGTAAAGTGGTAAAAAAAATAACACTAGAAAGAATCTTATCATTTTTAAAGTATTTTTCTATTTAATTGGGCCCTCTAGTTTTGCTTCTGTTTTATAAGTAATTTTTTTAGAATTGTAAATTTAAGAAAAGCCTGATGTAGCTTAAACCAAAAGGGTACCATTTTGATAAAAACAAAAAGTTATATAATCCCCAACAAGGCATGAAGCATATGGTTAGAAAATAATGCCCAAGTTTTAGAGCCTAAAATAAAGGAAGTAATGGTGGAAGACTGGGGTGTAATAAGAAGCCACATTGGCTCATTTAAAATGTTTTAAGAATGCTATAGAACTGATTGATAGTTCCTTTGTAATGAGCTGTAAAAGGGTAAAGATATAAAAATACCTATAGTGGGCATTTTTAAAGATACATTGGAAGGATGAGACAGTTTCGTCTCAGGATTCTGAAATTATAATTTGCATCTTTGCATGGAGTTGTTCATTGCGTTTCCTTGAGGGTGCTATGACCTTTTATGGGGGGTAAAGTTTATAATGGCATTTATTAAAATACGCCACAAAATACTCTTGTCTGTAAACAGTAGTTGCTGTGAGGACTTATAAATAAGCCAGGGCTGACCAGTTTTGACCAGCATGTGGATGCAGTATTATTTAGTAATACAGGAAGTTATGGGGACCACAGTTAGAGTCTTGGCCTCCACTTCCTTCTTATTGATTATCTTATAGCATGAAATGAGGCAAGAGGTCTGTTTTCTTTTTGCTTTACTTCCTTCTTTTATAAATGAAAAACATGTTTGAATAACATCTTGGAGAGGTAATACCTTTCTTCTTAGGAAAAAAAGTCATGAATCCTTTACAGTATTCCCATGAAAAAGGTAAGATTTATTACCATTCCTTACACTGTCCTTTCTCTGACCCCGAACTGTTACTGGCTCCACGTTTCCTACTTTTTCAAATCTTAGCTTCACATTCTGGCCGTCATATTCTTCCATAATCCTTATCAACCCTCTTTTAATTAAAGGGGCAGCTTCATTGGTTTACCCATATGTGTTTGTGCCCTCGTAGGTGGGTGGAGGAGAAAACACCTTTATTTCTGCCACACTCCCTCTTATTTATCCTTTGGGAATCGCCTCACATTGCTTCTCCTTGATGAAGCCTTCTCTGATCCACTCCAGCCATCATGGCTCTTATTCTTTTCCGGCATTTATAATCTGTACCAACTATTTGGCCTCATATTCACTTTATTGTTAAATTTTTTAAATGGTTATTTATTTTGAGAGAGAGCACACGCAGGAGAGAAGCAGAGAGAGAGGGAGAGAGAGAGAAACCCAAGCAGGTTTTGCGACGTCAGCTCAGAGCCTGATGCAGGGCTCGATCTCACGAACCCCAAGATCATGACCTGAGCCAAAATCAAGAGTCAGACGCCCGACCGACTGAGCTACCCAGGTGGCCCATGGCCTCATATTCACTTTAATTTCAGGTCTATTTAATAGGCTTCTCACACCAACTGGATAGTAGGATCTTGAAGAAGCTAGGTAGCCTAATTCCTCTTATATTTATATATATACCACATGATATACTACAGTGAGGGGGCTAGGTAAGAAGTAAGCATTTAAGTAATATTTCTTTTGTACCAAGTATTTTATGCACGTTTTGTAATGTTAAGGACAGTATTTAACTCCCTTTTTTTTTATGTGTGGAAACTGATTCATGGCTGTGATAGCTTTCTGAAGGTACTCAGCTAGAAAATGAGGGAGCCCATATTCACACCTAATTTTTTCTACTTCCAAAACCTCTGCTCTTTGCATTGTACCATGAAATTTGTTCAATAAATATTTGAATATTAATTGGCTATCACTATCATGAATTTGGAAGGCAAGTATGCATCAGGTAAGGCAACCAACTTCTCTAAACTGCAGTTTCTTTAATAGTAAAACAGGCAGCAAACTAGCACCTGCTTCATAGAGCTGATGTGAGTTAAATAGGTAATAATACATGTTAAGCATCTTGCACAGTGTCTGGTTCACAGCAGCTATTTAATAAATGGTTGCTATTATTATTTACTCTCCCTTTGCTTTCCCTTTTCCCTTCACTTTTGTCTGTGGTTCTTCTAGCACATTCATTTTTGTTGAGCACTTAGATATGCCAAACATGGTGCTGGGTTCTGGGGTTTCACAATGAGTAAAATCCCTGTTCTTAGAGAGTTTACTATCTTGCAGGAACATTAGATGATTAAGTGAATGGTCCTAACTAGGCCTAAATGAGTATTATAATGGGGAGAATGTGGTACAGTATGGGAACTCTAGATGTTAGGGAGATTCTCCTGAGGAGGTGATATTTAAGTAAGCACCTGAAAGATGAGCGGTAGCCAGGTTAAAAGTGGGAAGGGGGAGGGGTATTTTAGACAAAGGAAATAGCATGTGGAAGACCAAGCAGCAAAAGACAACTATGTTCTATGAATTGGAAGGCATTCCAGATCACTGAAGCAATGTAAAAGCAAAAGAGAGATGCAGAGAGAGAGAGAGATAAAACTAGAAAGAAGGGCTGGATCATAGAATGACTTTAAGAAAGTAAGAGGCCTTGAAGGATTTTAATGTGGCTATTGTCATTCTCTGGATTATTACTGATCTCTCCTTCTAGTAACAGACTGCATTTGTCCAACCACAGAGGCACTCACACGACTCACATAGATTCATTCATAGTCTCTATCCTCCTGTACACAGTGATAAGCATGTGACTCAAATCTAGCCAATGTAAGTCCATCCTTAGGACTTTTTTCACACTAGAAATAGAGGTAGCTTTTTTACTCTGGGACATCTGTTGGGACGTGTGTCCAAGATTGCCAGTGGCCATCTTTCTTTTTCTGTAACAGAGAAAGTTTCTGTGCATTAAGAGAGCAAAAGGCGGCGCCTGGGTGGCGCAGTCGGTTAAGCGTCCGACTTCAGCCAGGTCACGATCTCGCGGTCCGTGAGTTCGAGCCCCGCGTCAGGCTCTGGGCTGATGGCTCGGAGCCTGGAGCCTGTTTCCGATTCTGTGTCTCCCTCTCTCTCTGCCCCTCCCCCGTTCATGCTCTGTCTCTCTCTGTCCCAAAAATAAAATAAACGTTGAAAAAAAAATTAAAAAAAAAAAAAAGAGAGCAAAAGGCTGATATGTAAAAAGTAAATATTACAGTCCCTACATTTTATGGTTCCAGGTCCAGTTCTGTGCTGTCTCAGTTTGCTTAGTGAGAAATGGTCCTTACTAGTACAAGTTTTTAAGTAGAGGAATGACACATTCAGATTTTCTTTTTTTTTTTTTCATGTTTTTATTTTTCAAAGATTTCTCAGAGTTTAATGTGGTCAGTGGATTGGATGATATCAAGACTGGAAGCAGGGAAACCACAAAGGAGTCTATGAAGTAATCCAGATGAAATATGATAGTTTTCACTAGGGTTGGGGCAGAAATGGGAATAAGGCAGATTTTAGAGAAACTTTAGTGGCATAGTTGATACAATTTGATTATTATTTGGGTAGTATTGGGGGAGAGGAAGAGGAGAGAAGGAGGTACTGCAGAGGGAGGAGTCAAAGATGGCACCTCTGTTTCTGGATTTAGCCTCTGGGTAAATGGCCCTGCCATTTTCTTAAGGAATATGAAACTTGACTGAAGTTTGAACCATTGAGGTTTGGGACTTGTTGAGGTTGAAATGCTTATGGAACTATAGTAGGCAACCTCTAAAATGGCCTCCAGTGATCCCCACTTTCAGATGTTCATGCCCTTGTGTAATCTTCTTCCCTTGGGTGTGGGCTGAATCTAGTAACTCTCTTCTAGGGAATAGGATAGGCAAAAGTGATGGGATGTCACTTCAGAGGGTAAGTTTCAAAGAGATGGTGACTTATGTCTTAAGCATCCTCTTTCACTTTCACTTGCTTGTTCTTCTAGCATGCAGTTGCCA